ATATTAATAATGAATCGATGTATAGGTGCATAAATTGTATACAGTATTTGTATGAGAATATAGGGATGTTCAGATACTGATAGTATCGGTATTGGTGCCAATGCCGAGTATTTGGGCAAGTACTTGCACTTGCCCAAATGCTCAGATGCCTAAACCGATACCTGAGCTTCCGGTATCAGGAAGACGGGCAGCGAGTAATTACACGCTGCCCGGCTTCCTGATTGGCCAGGAAGCCGGCTCCATGCTCCACTTGTGACGAGGGAGCATGGAGCCGGCTTCCCGGCCAATCAGGAGGCCGGGCAGCGTGTAATGTCTCCCTGCCCGGTTTCCTGATTGGTCGGTAAGCTGGCCAATCAGGAAACCGGGCACTGTGTAATGATGCGACGCCCGACTCTCTGACTGGCCGGGTAGCCGACTTCATGCTCCCTCATCACCTTGTGAGCCGGGTGCCACGTCATTACACAGCACCCGGCTTCCTGATTGGCTAGAAAGTCAGTTCCATGTTTTCTCGTCATGTAGTGACGAGAAGCATGGAGACGGCTTCCCTTCTAATCAGGAAGCCGTGTGGTGAGTCTTTACACGCCGCCCGGCTTCATGGCTAATCAGGAAGCCAGATGGTGAATAATTACATGCTGCCTGGCTTCCTTAATAGGACTATCGGTATTCGTACTCGATAACGAAAAACAGTGCATCCCTAATTGTTACAGTGCCCATGACTTAAAGTGATATTAAAGTCAAAAGGTATTTAGGCTATTGCAAATGCTGATGAAATATCTTACAACGGATGCTGCTCATAGATGTTTAAAAAGTTTTAGATTCCTGAAGAACCAGCTGGTCCCCTGAGCACTGGCCCTGATATCCTGTTTTAGGGGGACTCCTTTCTCTTGCAGGGTCCTATGGAGCCACCCTTGTGTGTGCTAGTAAACTGTGTGCATCTCCACAAAAACACAGACACAGCAAGGCAAACTGCTCCCCCACTTCCTGCTCCCCTCTCCTCCTTCCTCCCTTTTACAATCTAGTAGAATGAGAGTTGCTGGAGTCTGCTCTGTCCCTTGTGATCTTGTACTAGATAAGAAGGTAAGGGAAGCCAAGCTGAGAGAGTTGGAGCCAGCTGTTCAGGAACATGATGACTGTAAGTGCTTTGACAAAATTATAAAGAAATAGTTTGCTGGACAATGTGTATTTGTTTGATCTGGATTCATTATTGAAACAAAGTTGGAGAGTTGAATACTACTTGAACCATTTTCCCCTTTCAGTTCCATTTTAAAATAGAAATACACATAGCCATTTACATGAGCGCACCAAACTGGCCTGCAGCAAAACAGTATACATGTGTTGTAGTCAGGCTGCATTTTAATTAACTTGTAATTAACTCACTAAACAATAATTAACTCACAAATGTTCGAATGTTTAATATGGAGGTAATGTTTATAGCTGTGGGTAATAATTTCATGGTGAAAATGGTTTCTTTTGTTTGTAGTAGAAGATGGAGGTACATGGCAGGCAGTGTGTTATTTCACTTGTTTGTACATACATAGAAATAATATACTTTATTAAGGCTGGGGAGATTAGCGATTAATTCCTCGATTAATCGTTAAACTTGTTGATCGATTAAAATTCTTTTGATCGAAAATGAATAACGTGCTGGATTAGTGTGATCCTAGTTCATTTTATTACTTCATTGCTGTGCTGTATGTGTATAGGCCAATGTAGTTGGATCTGTATGTGCGTTATAATTAATCGAAATTAATTTTTTTAAATTTTGATTAATCGAACACGAAAATTTTAATCATTACCAGCCCTATACTTTATGTGTTTGTATTGGGCCAGTGACGGCCTTAGCATTAATTACTGGATCCTTTGCGGTCGCCTGAGAAATTTTCAGATGTTCGGCGGGAGCGTGCGGTGAAGACACAGGTAAGCATTAACCCTTTGAAAAAGTTTTTGTTAACCTCTTGCCGTCCGCCCGTAGTAAAAAAACGGACAGACGGCAATTATTTTCTGCTCGCGCGCGCCTACATGTGCTCGTTCACGGCACTCCTCTGCTTCATCAGCTTCTTTTGGGGTCCACAGGTGACATTAGGGGTCCTAGAGACCCCTAATGTCTCCATAAAGAGGACCTGTCAGTGTGCCTTTGCTATTATATAGGGGGATTGTTATCCCCCCATATAATAGCAATAACAATAAGTGAGAAAAAATAAATATAAATAAAAAAAAATAAAAGTAACATATAAAAAAGTAAAATAAAATAAAAGTCACATATAAAAAAAGGGGAAAAAAACCCCCCAAAATGTTTAACTCCCCCACCCCCACGTTTACGCGCCTATAAACGTAAATACGCGTCCGGTGCCCCAGCGCGCAAAAATTACAATTGCGCTACACATGTTACATATCGCCGCGAACGTCGCAGTGAGAGCAATCATTTTAGGGCCATCAATCACTGATAACACTAAACTGATGAGCGGTAACAGCTTTTAAAGCGTCGCCTATGGCCAATTTTGGGTATTATCGTTTTTTGAGGTTTCGCGCGCGCACGCAATTTTAAGGCTTGACATGTTTAGTGTCTTTTTACCCGACGTGACCCCATCTTTTATATTTTACCAAAAAATTGGGTAATAATAAATGTTTTATCATTTAATATAGGGGAAACTGTTTTTTTTTTTAAAATTTCGGTAATTTTTCCTTAATATAGTAAAAAAATAAAACCCCCAGTGGTGAATAAATACCACCAAAAGAAAGCTCTATCTGTCCCCAAAAAAGGGTATAAAATTCATTTCAGTACAGCGCTGCATGACGGAATAAATGTCAGTCAAAGTACCGCAGCGCTGAATACTGAAAAATGGCCTGGATGGGAAGGGGGTTTAACATCGCAGATGTCAACTGGTTAAATCGTTTTTGCATATATCTACAGCTTGCTAGCAGTAGATATGTGCAAAAACATGCAAGGGTTTAATAACCCTTTAATTACGTCTGTTAAAATATGTGACATAGAGATATATTTTCGGAAACCATATTTATTATCAGTTGTGAACATTGCAAAAAAATATTATCCAAACAGTGTGTTATCTCTGAATCTGATGGGAAATGTATTGCGTATGGCAGTGTTATCATTCTGCCCTAATCTCTAAAACCACAGAGAGAGACAGTAAAAGTCATCGTGCATCACATAAACAGTGACATGACTGCCAGTTGGATGGGCCTTACGAGGTACAATTGGTTCCCTGCCAACATTTCAAGCCTCTGGAATACATGATCTTGCCTTTGTGCGTCTCGTTTAGTGGAACCAGAGAAGGCAGGGCAGCTGCCTTATTATCTGGTGCTAAGCCATTAGATCAGCTGTAAATTATGTATTTCCTGTGTCTGTAGACAACCAAATAAATGATATGTCCTCACTAGGAGTTCAGGTCTTCTCTGTGCCAGACAAAGATATGGGTTCAGTTTGGTGTTTTCTCACTTGTAAAAGTATTTTTTCCCTATTATCTTCACTTTGGTGCCATTATATAGCAATATTTTATATATTCTGTATTGTGAAAGCCATAGCAATATACTGTAGACTTGTTGATAACATTGGTATCAGCATACCTCCCAAATGTCCCCCATTTGAAGGGACCGTCCTTCATTTGGAGCCAAATTCCTCTGCCCCCCTTTCTCAATTGTCCCTCTTTTAGGTCCAATGTACAAATATCTATGAAAATGTTCTATTTAAATACCAAAACTGTTATTCTGAGCCCAAACCATTATCTTATCACCTAATTATCTTGTTTGCTATTTCGAAAAGCCAGTATACAGGAAAAGTAATGGTGGAAAAAAACTATTCTGGGTTTAACCGATCATTTTCGGCATAAGAATTGTTAATTGTCTTCATAACTGGGGGCATGGCAGGTGCTGTGTCCATTGCTAAATTCGTTGTGCTAGAAGGTGTCCCTCTTTCTCATTGCAGATTAGCAGGTATGGGTATAAGTACCATGTTTCAACATTAATTTAAAGTCCTACTACAGCCAAAATATTTAATTTTCGTTTTATGCAGAAAAGTGATACCTGATTTTTATTGCCATCTGTATTCCATTTGGGGAGATTCCACCACACTTTCTGTCCTGGTGACCAAACAGGAAGTGAGGTAATCTCCCCAAAGGGGATGTAGACATCATGTAAAGCCTAACAGGGGTTCTTACTCTTCCCTAATCTTTTCTAAAACTCTCTGCCCACTATATCCAAGCTAAACAAAAAGTTTTAGCTTTGGATAGCTTTTTTTTTTAACATGAAGAGTCTTACATATTACATTGGTTTTAAAGTCAAAAACATTTCCAGCTATTTCAAATGCTGATGAAATCACTTGCAATGGATGCTGCTCATTGATGTTTAAAAGCTTTAGGTGCCTGCAGAATAAGCTGGTCCTCTGAGCGCTGGCCCTGATATCCTGTTTTAGGGTGGCATTTTCCCTTGCAGGGTTCCTATGGAGCCACCCTTGTGTGTGCTAGTAAGCTGTGTTTCTCCACAAACACACAGACACAGTAAGGTAAAAGCCACTCTTCTGGTTTATTTTCTTCCTCTTGCCTCCTTCCCTCCTTCTCCAAGCTAGTAGATGGACAGCTGCTAGTGACTGCTCTGTCCCTTGGGATCTTGTACTGGACAGGAAGTTCAGGGAAGCTGAACTAAGATAGCCGGAGAAGCTTTTTGTAAACATGATGGATGTAAGTGCTTGGCAAAAAACTAAAGACTTACTTTGCTGGGCATTGTATACTGTATTTCTTTGATCTGGATTCATTGAAAAAAGGTTTGCAAGTTTAATACTACTTTAATGTTTTGCCAGCCTTTCATAAAAATTGAATTATATTAAATTACTGTTACATGATATAATGTGGTCTGAAGTTCACCATTGCAGGTCACTTTTACATGTCTGTTTTGCCAATGTACCTGTGATTCAGCTATAGAAAGCATGAGTCGGGTTGTTAGTTAAAGTCAAAAGGATCAAAGTTCAGATATTGCTTCTGTGGACTTACATTAGAAGATGAACGGAACCTGGGCACACTTGATTTGAAACTTGATGAAATACTCCGAGAAGGGACACTTTTCAGATTATACTCTCCTGGTCCAGGTCCTTTTTTCTATCATATAAACAGAAATGAGTGATTAGTTATGTGTTCTTTAACATTGTTCACAATAACAAGAGAGAAAGAAAGAAAGAAAGAAAGAAAGAAAGAAAGAAAGAAAGAAAGAAAGAAAGAAAGAAAGAAAGAAAGAAAAGCATTGGATATAAATTACTTCCCTTTATTGATGCAGTTTATTAGAAACTGTGTAGACCACCATAAATGCATAAAACATCCCAAAGTGAAATGTAAAATAATTGACGTTGTCAAACAACCACCACACACACCCCTGCATTCATCAGTCACATCAGATGGTATTAGTACCAGATAGCGGTGATATTTGCTGGCGGCAACATTCAGAACAAGGTGCATCAAAAGCGCACTGTATGCAAGGGGGGTAACAAGGCCCTTGGCCAACTAATAGTGAGTATTACATAAGATAGGTGGCATGGTTGCTCATGAGCTGAAATAATTTGTCATTTCATGTGCTATTCAGTGTCATGTGTTGTGTCTAAAAAAGTCAAGCATAAAGATGTCTCATAAACAGCCTCATGATCCACAAGCACCGTTTCTTCTTTGAGTGCCGACTCCCACATATGTCCATAAGAGCCACTAAGCAGGTAACATACAGACTTTTGGGGAACAGGCATTTTTAACAGTTTTATAAACAATGTGTTGCTGCTTGTATACTAGATTGCAAATGCTTTGTACCTGCTTTCTGTACAGGAAATACTTATCCTGTGAATAGTGGGGCTTTTCCCAGAAGTGGAGTAATAGGCTAATACAAATCCATCAACGTATGTTAGCTACACTATATAGCCAAAAGTTTGATGACCCCTGACCAACAAACCCATTCCAAAACTATGGGCATTAATATGGAGTTGGCTCCTTTGCAGTAAAAACAACCTCCACTCTTCTCGGAGGGTGTTCCAGCATTTTTGAGGTCAGGTACTTATGTTTGATGGGAAGACATGGTTCACATTTGATGTTCCAATTGATCCCACAGGTGTTCAGTAGGGTTGAGAGCAGGGCTCTGTGTAGGTTACTCAATTTCCTTCACACAAAACTCATCGAACATATGGAGCTGGCTTTGCACCCCTGAACTCAACAATTTGAAGGGGTGTCCTCATACTTTTGGCCACTTAGTGTAGACATACTGTAAAAACTCTATATGACAATTTGATAATCAGACTAATATTTACAATATTAGTCTCCCCCATGTCTCCAGATGTGCTGGCATTACAGCAAATAAAACCATAAGTCTTCATGGCCAGGGGAAGACTGAGACACTGGGGTGCACAAGGGAGTTTCAGGTCTGGGGGCCTTTCATTGCAAACCCAACAAATTCTTAATTACCACACAACTACAGTCTATATTCTGCAACATTGCCTTTATTTATGATGCACTCAAAGATGAACTCCGGGCAGGAGAAATCTTAACTCTTGTGGTGGGGCTACCTCCTGCACTGCAAGGGTTAAGTGTTCGTTTTTGTCCAGGGTCTAAAATAACAAAGATATACTCACCCAAACCTTGATCCCGCCTGGCTGCCAGATCAGTTCTCGCAGCCTCTCTCCCCCTTCGCTCCGGCATTCTAAGAACCCGTAAGGGACATTACATCACCAGAGCAGAGGAAATAGAGGCTGCAGGGACCAGTCTATCCGGCCAGGCAAAATTGAGCACTTAATCCTTGCAGTGCGGGGGTAGTTTTCTTCTGCCTGGAGTTAATCTTTAACACATAAGAATAGAAATTTGCATTGTATTTATAACACAATCATGCAAACGTATTCAGACAAATTATTTAGTCTAATTTTAACATAGTTACTCAGTGAACAACATCCAAGATATATATATAACAGAAAGGTAACAGGTGAATTGAAAACTACACACAGTAGTTGATCAAGCTTTTGCCTCACATATCCCACAAATATCTGCATTACCAGTCCACAAAAGTGACAGACCCCCAAATAAAATATATCATTATTATTGTGCCTCAGCCACAGGATATTTTTTCTATTATTATTCACTAAATTATTGAGATTAGTGTACTAAAGAAGATGGCTGCCCAAATCACACAAATCCCACCATTAGCAATCCCAAAAAGATTGATTAACTCCAGAATAAATCATAGCATTTTTCCTGTGCCACTGAATGTATTTTTTTGATTATTAATCACACATTATTAAGAAAAGTGTATGCTTCTCTGGCTCGCTTACTGAAGATGGCAGCCCAAATCCTACAAATCCCAGCAGTACCAGTCCAGAAGTGACTGACTCACCCACAGCACAGGGTGCTGATGGGAGGAGATCAGCATGCACAAAACATTTCTGGTAATAACAGAAGATTATTTCTATTGGCAGAAGCCAAACAATGAGTTGACCTGCCAGTATCCTTATGCTCAAATGTTTTAGATATCCATCACTCAATGCTGAGTTGCCCATTATTACTTTTCTTCCAATACAATTAATTGGTAGCCTCTTTCCTGCTCATTTGCCAACGCATGTCTTCCATATTATGGTTTATAAGGCTCCATCTCCAGCTCTTCATGTCTTGGAGATGGGGAGAGATCATTATTGTTTCGTGTAGGTTTAAGAGCTGTGGAAGATCTGGAGCTGAGTTGTTCAAGTCGTGTATAGCTGAGATGAGAATGGTGCTAAGCTCCGGAGCTGGGGGTGACATTCTATAGCTGCTTCTCCTAATGTTACTGCACATGACTGCCCTTCTCCAAAAATAAAACAGAGCAGAATGCAGGTCATTTTGTATTGTACTATTATTTGGCACTGCTCTATTTTCTTTCTTGGATATTTTTTTTACCCTTAGTAGCCTACAGTATTTATATTATATTAATCAGATTTTATCTTTTTTTTTCTGAGAAAATAAAACAAGGAAACTTATTGATACTTTACTTTCTTTTCTTTACAGATATGCCCTTTGAAGCTAATATCTTGTGAATTAACTCCATGTGATGGCATTCCATTTCCACTGTTGCTTATACACACTCCTCACTTAATGACCGAGTTCCATTCCTATGACTAGGCTGTTAAGCAAATTAGTCGCTAAGTGAAGAACAGAGGAAATCAGCTCTAATGTGCAATTCATACTTAGGTTTAGACTTTTAAGCTGCACAAAAATTTGGTTCGGTTCGGATTTTTCGTTATTTCAGGATTTGGGTCCAAAATTCAATTCGGTTCGGGATTTCGGATTCGGACAAAATCCGAATTTTCGTTAGTTTAGATGAGTTTGCGAAGGAATATAGTTTCGGATGAGTTTGCGAACGAATATTCGTTGCGCCTAACAGAAAACCAAATACAGATATTAATACTGAAGCTAAAGCTCCTAGACCCGATTGTCATTTGGAAGTCCGAATACCATTCGGGAGCTCCAGAAAACAATACAGGTCTGGATAATTTTAACATAGTTACTCAGTGAACAACATCCAAGATATATATATAACAGAAAGGTAACAGGTGAATTGAAAACTACACACAGTAGTTGATCAAGCTTTTGCCTCACATATCCCACAAATATCTGCATTACCAGTCCACAAAAGTGACAGACCCCCAAATAAAATATATCATTATTATTGTGCCTCAGCCACAGGATATTTTTTCTATTATTATTCACTAAATTATTGAGATTAGTGTACTAAAGAAGATGGCTGCCCAAATCACACAAATCCCACCATTAGCAATCCCAAAAAGATTGATTAACTCCAGAATAAATCATAGCATTTTTCCTGTGCCACTGAATGTATTTTTTTGATTATTAATCACACATTATTAAGAAAAGTGTATGCTTCTCTGGCTCGCTTACTGAAGATGGCAGCCCAAATCCTACAAATCCCAGCAGTACCAGTCCAGAAGTGACTGACTCACCCACAGCACAGGGTGCTGATGGGAGGAGATCAGCATGCACAAAACATTTCTGGTAATAACAGAAGATTATTTCTATTGGCAGAAGCCAAACAATGAGTTGACCTGCCAGTATCCTTATGCTCAAATGTTTTAGATATCCATCACTCAATGCTGAGTTGCCCATTATTACTTTTCTTCCAATACAATTAATTGGTAGCCTCTTTCCTGCTCATTTGCCAACGCATGTCTTCCATATTATGGTTTATAAGGCTCCATCTCCAGCTCTTCATGTCTTGGAGATGGGGAGAGATCATTATTGTTTCGTGTAGGTTTAAGAGCTGTGGAAGATCTGGAGCTGAGTTGTTCAAGTCGTGTATAGCTGAGATGAGAATGGTGCTAAGCTCCGGAGCTGGGGGTGACATTCTATAGCTGCTTCTCCTAATGTTACTGCACATGACTGCCCTTCTCCAAAAATAAAACAGAGCAGAATGCAGGTCATTTTGTATTGTACTATTATTTGGCACTGCTCTATTTTCTTTCTTGGATATTTTTTTTACCCTTAGTAGCCTACAGTATTTATATTATATTAATCAGATTTTATCTTTTTTTTTCTGAGAAAATAAAACAAGGAAACTTATTGATACTTTACTTTCTTTTCTTTACAGATATGCCCTTTGAAGCTAATATCTTGTGAATTAACTCCATGTGATGGCATTCCATTTCCACTGTTGCTTATACACACTCCTCACTTAATGACCGAGTTCCATTCCTATGACTAGGCTGTTAAGCAAATTAGTCGCTAAGTGAAGAACAGAGGAAATCAGCTCTAATGTGCAATTCATACTTAGGTTTAGACTTTTAAGCTGCACAAAAATTTGGTTCGGTTCGGATTTTTCGTTATTTCAGGATTTGGGTCCAAAATTCAATTCGGTTCGGGATTTCGGATTCGGACAAAATCCGAATTTTCGTTAGTTTAGATGAGTTTGCGAAGGAATATAGTTTCGGATGAGTTTGCGAACGAATATTCGTTGCGCCTAACAGAAAACCAAATACAGATATTAATACTGAAGCTAAAGCTCCTAGACCCGATTGTCATTTGGAAGTCCGAATACCATTCGGGAGCTCCAGAAAACAATACAGGTCTGGAAGCCATATACTGTACAATAT